GGCTAAAAACCAAACATGTCATTCTAAATTATTCAAAACATGATACGCCTGAAGCTCACTTATTGTGGAAAAAATATCCCGAAAACCCAAGATATACCAACTGTATATATATGTAAAAACTGTAACGTATTGTTGAAAGCCAATGACCTCTTCTTTGGAAGGAAAGTTTAACTATTATAATGATTAAGGCAGTCCGATCCTCAGGTTATGAAAATCGGCAGTTAATTGAAATGCTCCAAAAATATTATCTACTTTCGTAAAGTAATGTGTATTTACCTATAATATTTCTTCAAACTTCACATTACAGTTACCGGTAATCGTAATACAGAGGAAAAATTATCTAGCCTCAAATACATTTTCAGGAAATGCAAATGAAAAGCACCTGCTATGCAATTTTTCATTGTAAATTATTGAAGAAAAAAAATATTTATCTAACAAATAAGCATATGTCTGTAGTGTAAAAAGCATGTGCTATCATTGGGAGACATCAAATATCACTTCAAATTTCATATCATGATATGGTTAACAAGCTTGGCAATTTAAGCAAGGTTGAAGCAAATTCGATTTATCTAAAGATTATTAAATACTTTTAGGGGACACAAATGTCAACTTTTTCCCAGTTTTTAGATTACGAAAAACAGTTGCGTGAAAAAATTATTGCTCGAAAAGATTTGAATTTCAAGCTTAATTTTGATTCTTTTTTGATTAAATGATAATTTTTTAGAGTTATCCTTTTTGGATGGGGAGTGGATACTCTTAAGGAAATCAGCTACATAACTTCATCTACTTTTATTTTTAGTTGTTCTATTTAATTTGTGTTTAGTATTCTAGACACGTCTCCTGCGGTTAAAGCTCAGTCAATGCTTCTTGAGATAAACACATATGTATGGATATAAATGTCTCCATTTTATCCCTTAGAGTCAAACCTGATGAGATTTCCTCTGTCTTCCACGTTCAACACAAATCTAGCGATAAAATATCTAGCTTATTTGTATACAATGGTGTCTTCCAATTTTCCTTTAAAATAAAAAATCATCTATGTAACTAATTCATAACCAATTTATAACTATAACTAATTTAACTAATTTATAATATTTTACATAATTTTTCTAATTTAAACAAAATGGCAAACGTTTGTCAAATCGGTATTTGTCACCTCACTTGATGCCTGGTAAAAAAAAGGGGGGTAGATGATATATGACAAATAACACCTGATGGTGTAATACCAACAAGAAACTTCACGGTTGTGTGGTGTTTATAATTATATATGTTAAACTTTGATTTTCAAGATTTGAAGATCTCTGTATAAAAAGCTCTATACAGTCAAGTATAACTCAAACAGAAGAATACTTAACTTTGATAGATAATGGCATGGTTCTGTCTATAGTATCTCGGGTAGGAAATGGGTTAAGAGACTTAAGTTCAGAGAGTTAAGAAATCCAGGTTGAAAACTTTTTTGAAAAAGTACTCTCTGAAATACAAAATCTGTAAGCTATGTCTGATGTGAATAGGCCGAGTCTTAATCTGATGAGTACAGAAAATAACTGGTCGATCAGTCCCAATGAGCCTGTTGATACCCTCTGTCTGTCTGAATCCTGGTCTGTGTTGGAACCAACCCAATACCTCATTCTCTCTGCCTTAGGTCTCAGGAAACTATCATTAAAAATATTTATTATTGTCAGAATTACAGTATTTAACTAGATGCTGTCATGAGACAGTAATACCCGCACTAAGGTGTTTGCCTCTAAATGCACACTTCTTCATATTGGGCTTTACCACGGAAAAAGTCAATATAATTCAATAACTTACATAATACATGTATTCTTCAAATTGAGCATAATATGCTCAGGTGACCATGTAGCTGCAGATCTGCAGCGTTATGGTTTTATATATTTGTCTTTGACCATAACGCTACAGATCCCCATATGCAAAAAAGGTGCAATTTACGGTGCAATATTTTTTGCGCACTTTTGGGCAGAATTTCTCCACTTTCTAGCATTGGTCAATCAACTACCTTTCACTCCCTAATTTTAGACACATTCTGTAGTCAAAATGTACATTTTTTCCACCTCTCAGCCATTTATAGTCATCTCTACAGGCAATAAACTCGCTTGATGTGAATTTTATGCAATCTAACAAATAATTTTAATCAAGCGAGTTTATCTCGTGTAGAGACGACTATAAAAGGATTGGAGATGGATAAAATATACAGATTAGTTAAATAATGTGCCTAGAATTAGGGGGTGAAAGGTAGTAAATTGACCGATGCTTGAAAGTGGAGAAATTCTCCCCAGAAGTGCGCAAAAAAATATTGCACCGTAAATTGCACCTTTTTTTGCATTACAGGATCTGTAGCTTTATGGTCAAAGACTAATATATAAAACCATAACGCTATACAGATCTGCAGCTAGTGACCATGTGACCCATGGGCCTCCATCTTATAGGTATTTCATATTCTTTATTCATTACCAGTCGGAAATTAAACAACAGAATTAAATTAATGATGTAAATTAGGTTTGATAAGGGGGGGGGGTGGCACATAATTGGAACTTTTAAATATATTTTATCATATAGATTAACAACAAATAATATTATTCAAATTAATGTAAAGCGTTTTTGATGAATTTTTCAAAATGTGCAAAGTTTATTTATATTTGATTAGGCAGAAACTTCTTGAAAGCTGCCATATACACAATCAATTTAGTCAACCCCGACCCCTCTCCCATCAACACACACAAACAAACACACCTTATTTGCCTGTTTTTGGAAATAGGCCTAGATGGCAAAGTTAAAATAAAACATCTTTTGTAAATGATAATTTTTAATTTGTTCTTGCACTATACATGTATCTGAACACCTGCATCACATTGGGCTTGCGTCACGTACCCATCTTAAGTACTAGTTTTACCACTGGCATTATCATTTTAGATTTCACTGCACGTGCAGTAGGCTACTAGTGTGCATCATTGCATCTAACGTTATGTCAGTAGGAATTATTTTATTTTGTGTTTTAACTGGATTATATTTCATGAAGATAACAGTGCCTAAATAATGACAATCGGTAAGTACAAGTTTTGGTATAGATTTGGGTAAAATAGTCTGAAATGCAAACAGTTAGGTTAAGCATTGGATGACCTTTGATCCTTTAAACTTACAATAGACGAATTTTACATTCTGAAGAGTTATCCCCCGTTATCAACGTTACATTCAGTTACAAGATCCAGAATTTTTTTTCTGGGAGGGAGGTGGGGGAGGGGGTTCCAGACCAGAATTAGCCTGGTTCCCTGTCCCTGTTTTGCTTTATATACTCCGCGTCACTAGGGCCAGGTGGAGTACAATGGAATCCACCTGGCTCTCCTGCCTTGGCAAGGATGAGACAGGGGACAGGCTAGACCAGAATTTCCTGAGAAGCAAAAAAAAAAAAAAAAAGAAGTTATGGTTGGGTCTGTTTTCTAGGGTGGAGGGACACTTAGGGCATCCAAAGTCATTTTTATTTCCTCCAGTATATATTATATTCAAGCAAATTCCAGGTGGGGGGGTTGATGGGGCAATCTACAAATCCACTTACCTGTCCCTGTAATGACAAATGATCATGTGACTCCTAAATAGTAGGAAACTTTTTCCATTTCACTATATATAATTTTGTTTCTTGTGTTATTATGTTATGTAAATTTAATGGTATAAAGGTTATGAACCCCTAGAGGTCATCCCCACTCTCCTAATGAGCTGAATTGTTCATAATATGACTGCATTAAATTGAATAAAAGTGCATCAATGATAAGATTACTTGACATTTTATTCATGAATTTGTGTCAACCTATCTTCCTAGAATTAGGAACGAAAATCATTCAGAGACGGACCACATTAAACTATTTGTATTAACATTTTTTTTAAATGTAAAAACAAGTAGTAGTTTGCATACATGAACATTGAACAGGGGTCTGGGAAGGGGTGAGGGGAAGGATCGAGTTAATATTTCTTTATATACGTCTTAATGGTTGAAAACTCCTAAAATGAATGTTGACCTCAAATCTAACTTGTCCTCATTATTTTTCAAGTGGTGGTGTCTCCATATGAGTGAAAAATACCTGAGAGGGATGTTTAACAACAAACAAAATGACATAAAAACACAATATTGATTTGCGTTAAGAAATATGCAGGGGATTTTTTCCATCATAAATCTTCTTCTCAAGAACAGCAAGGGCATTATTGTCCCCCATTTTGGGGAAAGGGAGGGGACATTAAATCTCATTTGTCTGTCAGTCTGTCCATCTTATTTACAGCTAGTATGTGCATCTGTCACAATAAATTTAACCTTGGTCATAACTTTTGAATAATAAGAGATTGTGCTTTCATATTTCACATGTACATTACCACAAAACTTTCTAAATATACTATGATTTTTTAACCGAAGTGAGACCTTGACCTTAAAGTTTTACCGACTTTCCAAAAAATAACATTTTAAATTGATCATTTTGAAAGAGAAAAGAAGGGGCATTCAAATTATACATGTTTATATTACATGTGAAAGACTTTTCTAAATATATCTTGACTTTTGACTCTGTGACCTTGACCTAGAAGTTTAACCTACTTTTCAAAAATATTATATTGTATATATAACTTTTGATTCAAAAGAGATAGGACTTTCATATTTGACATGTACATTACCTGCAACAAAATGTTTCAGAGCATGCTATGATTTTTCCCCTTTGACCCAATTTCAAAAATTGATATATGATAGGGGTTCATATTTGACACACAATCTGCCATAAATTATGGCATCCCATTCACTAAAACACAGAAAGCAGAGGACCACAATTCTTTGAATTTGCTTGTATAATCTTGATAGATGGAAACATCCTTATATAATGTAGATTCAATTTTTTTATGCCACACCATGATTAGGAATACATACATGTATAGTTTTTGTCATGTCCGTCCTCCACCCTTCCATCTGTCTTTCCATCGGGCTCAATGAAACTTTTTAGATATTTTTATCAAAGTTCATATGTTGATGCATACTGATGTAAATATCCAACTGCAGCAATATTTTTTGACTTTGACTTTTCCTTTGACCTTCACTTAACTTTTCTTTAAATTAGTGTTTAGCTTTATTTTAAAGAAACCGTTCAAGTTGTGTAATGAAAATTCACATGATGATACATACTGATGTAAGCTTTACAATGCTTCACTCTTTTTTACCTTGACCATTCCTGTGACCTTGACCTCACTTTTTTATAATTAATGTCTAGATCAGTTTTGAATAAACAATTCAAGATATATTTATCAAACTTCATATGCTGATACATACTGCTGAGAGCTATTAATACATCAACTCATTTTGACCTTGAATTTTCCTTTGACCTTGACCTCACCTTTTAAATTATGTGTTTATCTACATTTTAAATAAACCATTAATTATAGTTTTATCAAACTTCATATGCTAATAGTAAATTCATACTGAAGTAAGCTTTTCAACTGCTACAACATTTTGGCATCAACCTTTCCTTTGACCTCTCTTTTTTTTAGAAAAGG